TTTCATAAAATTCCGGTTGCATTTTTAACAAAAGGTGTGGGACTAAATTTCTGGGATTGCTGGAACACACCCTCTTTTTAAACTCCTGTCTATCTATATTCCCACTTCTAAAAGCAACAAAACAGCTGATGCTGGAAGACAGTGACCTTGACTGAGTGCTAAAGTGATCTGTAGTATTTTGCTCTGCCTTATTTCACTTTGACTGCCAGCACACTTCACCATCTATAGAAGTCAAACTGAGTTGGCCGTCCTCCCATCAGCTAATTTTAGGCAGCGGTCTCCAGTGCTCAGCCCCCGCTGTGAGTTTGAGAGAACTCTCCCTAGAGCAGCAAAAACGGGGGTGAGCATGGATCACTTTCACGTGACATGGGCAGGTTTGGGTTTAGAGGTTGGAGACAGGTGGAGGGAAAAAAAAGTGTATTTTACAGTAAAATTCTGTTAACTTTACAGTTTTTAGAAGTAAAAAAGAACAAATCAACGTATAATTTACAGTCAAAAACTGTAAACTGATATTCCCAAAGTTCACTGTATTAAACTCCACATTTGATAGAATTTTGTTTAAATAATCATTTCTTGATAGTTTTTGTTATCATTTTGTACATTAGGGTTTTATGTTGCATCTATGTTGCAGTTGTTTAATGAATGTTTATTACATCATTTAAGTGTTGTGTGTTACCATGATAGTGCTTTGTGTTTGATTGAATGGATCTGTCCACCTTGTAAATTAGTATATACTTCGGCTTGTGGAAAAGCTGCTTGTAATGAACTTTGATTCTTCATGTGGCTTTCTCCTTTTCCACCTGCATTATTATGATGGTTGTAGGCCTGGGCGATAAAACGGTATCAATATTTATCGACGGTACACCCTCTTCGATAACGATAGAAAAAATGTTCGATATAGCGCACGATATAGGCACGTGCTATGAGTGACGCAGACAGCACACTGTGATGAGGAGATTGTGAATTAAAAAAATGAATATTAGTCTAATTTAAAATATTTGCATTTGAATGCAAAAATAGTTCAAATTAATATTAGGTGTGCGTCTGGGAGCGTCATTAGTGGAGCGCGAGATGCGGTGATGATGATGTAAGTGATGTTGTTGCATTTTAATGTTTTGTTAGTCTAGCCCACAAGACGAGCAGTTTCTGCGTTATTCATTCAAAATATTAGAGAAATATACTAGCTCAATGCGTAGAAGATCTTGATTAGGTTAAAACCGAAACCAAGTCATTCACACAGAACGCATATTCAGCGCATTTTTAGACGGACAAATATGACTTCTGCTCTCACGTCCAAATTTTTATTTTGTGTTTGACTGTAAAACAAAAAAATATTTGTTGTTTGTCTCAATAAATTGGGTTAATTTAAAAATACAGTGGTTACATTTAAAAAAAAAAATTTCTATTGCTCTTTGTTTTAAAAAAGGTTATAAAAAATGTCAATAATTATCGATACCGAACAATATGAAACATTTTTTTAGCTATATCGCCCAGCCCTAGATGGTTGTCATTATATGTTAAAGGCACAGAACAGATTTTAGTAGAAGTGCACATTGCTGAATTTACTGGTTTACATTCATATTTTCTTGATTGTAAATTACACAGTTTTATACTGTAAAAGTTTCTGTTTGTTCAGTAAATGAATTGTATGTGTTTATAGTTGTTTTTTACAAAAAAAAATCTGGGAACTACAGCTACCAAAATTACTTTTGGTATTTTTGGTACCCCCCACCCAACTAGTGTACTCTGAAATCTGAGATGGACATGATTTCTAGTAGCATGGGCATGTTTCACTTACTTAGAGACATGGCTGAAAATAAGATTCCAAAGATGACACAACCTACACCTAGATAGCAGAATGCAAGTACAGCACCTGCAGATGCTATAACAGTTCAAAAACATTTCCATTAGCCATGCCACTATTAAATCATGTTTACAATTGAGTCATTCTGCGTCAAATCAACTAAATTTCAGAAACCTCCCCAAATATTTTTTTTTTACTACCATAACTGTAATGCTTATAAAATTAATTCATACTTACAAGCATTAAGAACACTAACTTTAAGATTTGCATATAACAGCTATTCAGAATATTATACTACATTGCACATTTCAGTAGCATGCACTGTGCAGAGTATATAAATAGTTTGTATACATGGAATATTTGGATGACCTACTATATTTGTCGAAATGTGCAATTCAACTAGAACTCAGGGCATGAAATGTGTCCCACAATGCCTGACCCTCTTCAGTGTGACGAATGAATCACAATTTCTCCTTTTGGACTTAATCAAATTGCCAAGAGTTACACAAAATTAAATTAAAATAGCTAAACCAACCACGTTTTATTTAGAGATGATAAATGGACACTATTTGCTAAATGTACTCCTAGTAATCAATACTTTAAAACTCTATATGAACATGCCAGCATTTATTCTTTGCATGAAACAAAAGATAGTTGGAGTGAAGAAACAAACAGATGGACGGGGGTTTCTTACCAGTTCTTAACAGGAGATCAAGGTTACCCAAATTATTATAGCAGATCTGTTACCCATCACAGGCATGATTTCAAACAGAACTGTACAAAAGTAAATGTCAAAGTTATTTCTTTGTCTACATTTTTAATTTTGGCACTCTATCAAGGTGACGTTCAAGGCATTTCCTTTGATGCATTCAGGAAATAAGATGGAGCATGATAATCCTTCAACAAAAATAAACAAATTTAGTTACCATTTCAACATCCAAACTGAGAGCAACACTATATTTACAAAAGTTTCCTGCATTCAAAATGTATTTCATTTTATACGCAACTGTTCTCTAAAAACTCACCCATTACCACTTGTTCTTAGCCTATTGTACAAAGTACTTTTTCAAAAAAATCACTTCCTTTCCCATGGCAATGTGACAAAAATGGTTTAGCCCCTGCCTGTTGCATTGTGGGGTCAAATATTTCTACAGGGTCAGTGTAGATTTTGAACACAAGGGAAATTGTTTTACATCAGCAGTGTTTCCTGACTGGTAATTCCACAAGGATTTTAGTTGTATAACATAGATTTTAGAATGTTTTCAGTGATCAATTAGTGAGAAGGAATTACGTGCTTAAAGGAACACGCCACTATTTTTGAAAATAGGCTCATTTTCCAACTCCCCTATAGTTAAACAGTTGAGTTTTACCGTTTTCGAATCCATTCAGCCGATCTCCGGGTCTGGCGGTAGCACTTTTAGCTGTATCTTAGCATAGATCATTGAATCTGATTAGACCGTTAGCATCTCGCTCAAAAATGACCAAAGAGTTTCTATATTTTTCCTATTTAAAACTTGACTCTTCTGTAGTTACATCGTGAACTAAGAGTTGCGAAAAAAAAGTTGCGATTTTCTAGGCCGATATGGCTAGGAACTATACTCTCATTCCGGCGTAATAATCAAGGAACTTTGCTGCCGTACTATGGGTGCAGCAGGCGCAATGATATTACGCAGCGCCTGAAAATTGTCCCCAGCTAGATAATATCGAAACTATTTGGTCATTTTTGAGCGCGATGCTAACGGTCTAATCAGATTCAATAATCTATGCTAAGCTGCAGCTAAAAGTGCTACCGCCAGACCCAGAGATCGGCTGAATGGATTCGAAAACGGTAAAACTCAACTGTTTAACTCTAGGGGAGTTGGAAAAGAGCCTATTTTCAAAAATAGTGGCGTGTTCCTTTAAGAGTATTTTTTGCACAAAATACTGATCAACAACCAAACAAAACAACTCTGCTGAACTCAAGAGTGCATCCATTTAACCTCAGCATTCATAGCAAACAAAACATAAGCAAGTGCAATTAATAATCAATATTTACAGCTTTCTATATGAAGCATACAGCCTTTTTTAGAGCCAAAAAAAGACAAACGTTTCACTTAAAAATGCAATCTTTTAGCATAGGGTGAAGTCATTAAGCACATCAACAATGATGTGGACAAATATAATGTAATTGAATGGAAAACTATATGAGTGGCATGTAGGCCTGTCGCAATAATCAATATATTGACTTATTGCGCAATATATGTACATGACCTCAATCATTTTTGGTGACGCAATATATCGCCCATTATATTTACTTAAAAATTAATGTCACCATGTTTTGTACATTCCACTTGTGCCTGTGTCTTTTGCAGCTTCTTGTACATAACGTGGTGTAGTCATGTGGTGCTAGTTCACATTTAAAAAATGCTTCTTGCTGTTTGTTTCATCTGCAGATATGGCCTTGTTTAGGGATCTGTGTCTGTGCATACGGACATCTGACTGCTAAATAGTGATTGTGTTTTTCAGCAATAGTGTGCACCTTTAACCAATATATCGCACAACAAAAAGTTGTTATCGTGACAGGCCTAGTGGCATGGCAGGTTTTTGTCGGCTGCATGAACATATCACTTTGCTTTATCACTTCACTAGATTTAAATATGCAACTTCACTGGCTAACAAATGCATTAAAGTGACCAGTTGGACATAAACTAATGCAAATAGATGATAACGATCATGACATTAAATATTTGGGTCAGACTTGCATGTGTTTTGGTCACACTTTAATCGCTTGAGGTACTAATAATGTTTCCATCCTCTCAGCCTTGTCGGCAAACATATTGCTGTTCTTCACTAATGCAGCATCTAATCAACAAATTCATTACTTTATAATGATATGAAAACATGTACTGTAGTGTACTGTATACGTACGGTTTCGTTGTCTCTGTTTTAAAGCCGCATCTGCAGTATCCTGCTCTGTGCAGCGCGCAGCCTCACATGTCAAAACAAACAGCACGAGGCACCAGTGATTCGCCTCTAGAGGGCGCTCTCATACAGTAAAATGACAGCAGACCCTTAGCAGCTCCAGCAATGGACGCAACCCGGAAAAACTAGCAAGCGACTATTGGTGCGGATTAATCGGCAAAACTGATCAATCGGTCAACCTCTAATCAAAACCAATTTCAGGTGACAATCAACTCAGTCTTTAGTTTGTACATACCTGTAGTACCGCGACTGGAGGTACGTCGAGCAGACGGCTTTGGAGACGTGACTGGCTGAGCCAAAGTCTATGACTTTCACCCGGTAGGGTTGCCGTACAGGGTCCACCAGCATGATGTTCTCAGGCTTCAGGTCCGCGTGGATCAGTCCCATGCCCTTTAGCTTTTTTAGCGCCGTGGCCACCTGCTGAAGAATGGGACGGATCACCTTCAGAGGTAGCGGGCTGAATTTGTTCTGCTTAAGGAAGTCATACAGGTTTTGCTCCAGCATCTCAAACACGAGGCAGGTGTGGCTGCGGTGCTGGAAACACTCGAAAGCTCGCACCAGATTATGCTCATCTGCATTCTCGCTGCTGAGGCGTGCCAGGATGCCTACTTCAATCTGACCCTGTCGTGCATATGATGGATGATTCTTCAGGATCTTCACCGCCACAATCTCATTGGTGCCTCGTTTCCAGCATTTCACTACCTGGCCGAAAGTACCACGGCCGAGGAAGTCTAAGACCTCGTAGGTGTTCTTCAAAGAGCACAGCAACTCATGCTGCACCAACTGGTAGTCTCCATCCCCGTTTCCGGAATTTCCACCTTGCTTTGCAGGCCCTACACCGACTGGGACCGCAACTGGTGGGTTTCCCAAATTTGATTGCAACATTGCAGGTAACATTGACCGGTCCTCTACAATCTGCATGGCGCTCCCCAAGTTCTCCAGCTCCCCGCTCTTACGTTTCAGCCCGCATCTGTGGGAGCTGTCTTGCAAGTTAAAAACTCCACAATCTTCCCGGTCACCCTCGTCCTCTCCTCCACCACCTTCGTCACCTTCACCCTGTCCTCCACCTCCTCCTTCTTGACTGTCGCTTCCCTCTCCCCTACCCCTTCCAACTGCCCCTGTAGCTCCACTGCTGCAACCCTTTCCTTTTTCCTGGTGCTCCGGCTCGTTATCCTGAGAGGCGACACCCCCTTTTTGCTGCTGTGCCGCTGTGGTGGTATGCTGACGTCGCACACCGCGTACAGCAGCCGTTTGCAATGGTAACTCCTGCCCGCGATGTCTGCCGATCACAGAATATCGTGTCTTAAAGGAAGCGGTGATTTTTGACGGGTAAGCAATGCCAAGGGTTCTACAATTCAAGTAAGTCTGTGGGTAGGCCCTCTCATGGTAAACACAGTTACTGGGCTCAACTTTGAGTTTCTTCACACTACAAAAGGCACTTGTCTGAGTTTGAAAAACATGTAGTGGATAGACCAAGACTTGTGAGGCCATACCTGTGAACACAAGAAAACCATATACAGATCATGTTACACTTTCAACCAATAAAATGACAATTTGTAAGATTTGAACATTTTCAAAGAAACATGGACATCATAACTGATCAGCCAGTACCTTTCAAATTCCTGAAAATGTGAAATCCCTGGTCTCTATTCAATATTAACTTACAAAATGACTAATGTCTATAGAGGTGTTTTCCTAAGTTTGTTGTGTGACATCACAGGTGTCCACTAACTAAGTGTAAACAACTTGTCCTACTGCGTGCACTGGCTTGCATCATCAGGCTGACATTACTTGACCTTTGCCCCTATGCTACAGCAGCAAACAGAAGGCTGCCTTGAGCAGCCAATGACAGGTCAAGATAATGACACTGCAGCAGAAGGTTGCGTTCCTCCCTCCAACCCCCACCAATCCTCCTTCCATAAATGCCGTAAAGGGAAACAACTAACTGCTCACAGGTTCAAATGACCTTTTCATATCGGTTTCCATTAATCGGGGTCTCTAGGCAACGGTTATTTCAAAATGAGCATTACTGTGTGAGGGGAAAAAAGAGACAACAAAGGCACAGTATCATCTGTGCTTGCATAGCTTCTCTATTTTCAATAAATATCCAATTGAGGAAATACATTGACTTGCATGAAGTAAAGCAAACCTGTTTTTGAGTCACAAGTTGTGGTACTAATGTAATTCAATTATTTACACTTTACTCTAGGGTCAAACCCACTAGGGCTGCACGATAAATCGAAATGAAATCGCGATTAGACAGAAGCTGCGATTGTCATGCGTATCTTTCAGTGAAGCACGGTTCTGTGATTAGTAGTAAATCTCCATCCGAAGGCCAGAGGGTGCTATCGCGCTGAAACTCCAAATACGCCCCGCAGAAGAACCCAGGAAATCCATTTAGCGGTTGCTGAATAAACAGAAGATTTAACTGTTTTCATTGATTCAACGTGACTAATAAACACACGACTACGGCAATATATGGTTTATCGGAGTTCTTATTATTATAATTTTCATTATATATTGCAATGCTAATCAACATAGCCTTTATCACGGTTTAGAATACTATGAAATATTATGTGCCTTATTCTGTGTAAGAAGCCACATCATCTCACAGAAGGATTTATTTCAAACACTCGGCTGTACGTTATGAAGTGAGTTTGGAGTAAAAACATGTTATTAAATGTGGTATTTTCACATGCTTTCAGATGGAGCAGCATTTACTACACAGAGCCGTAGTTCACTGAGAAGCTACGCAAACAGATGTCATTATCGCAAACAATTTCTTCGATTTCATAATCATACAATTATATCGTCTGCAATTTTTTTTCGCATAGCTTGTCAGAGAACTACGGCTCTGTGTATTAAATGCTGCTCCATCTGAAAGCAGGTGATGGAGATTTACTACTGATTACAGAACCGGCTTTACTGACAAGATGTGCATGACAATCGCATTCGATTAATCGTGCAGCTCTAAAACCCACTTTTGATTTGTACACCAGAAAAAAAAATGTTAAGGAAAAGGAACAAGATAAGAGTGTGCTTTCTGCAACAGGCCAACACATGACCACAATTTTGAAAAGACGCTGCCAATTTCACATTAATTTGCCTGACATCCTGTGCAAACGTTGTGGCTTGTCCAACTCTAATTAAGGGCTGAAGCACACTTAAACATCTCAAGAGCAACTTTTCTACAGAGTGCAAACAGCCAACTGAGGTATAGGGAGTGAAGTGAGAATATATAGGGTGAGGGTATAATATGAGAAATCACAACATAAGAAAAGACAGGCCAGTCCAAGCAGAGAAACTAAAATGAATAAATATTAACCCTAACAAATATTGCTGTTGACAAGAATCATATTACAGATGATCACTGTATGTTCTTGGTTATCTAATTTACCCATTTAAAAAAATACAAAAATAATAATCAAACATCTTAACACTGAACATTCGCCCTTTACTACCATATGAGCACAAACTTTTCAACATTAATTCACAACTAACTCTATTACAATTTCAGGCTATTTGTTATTTGACAATCATCATATTCATATCTGTGTTTTACCTTTACTATACAAAAGTACTAGAAATTGATTCAGGCTGTTTTTATGCACTATCATTGTAAAATTACTAACCAAATCAGGTGGCTGGTTAAGATTTGCTCAAATAATAAAATTAGGATATAAAGCTATTTTTAAGGAAGAAAAGTGAAGTAACGTTAACGTGAGGGAGCAAACTAGTTGACGTTAGCTAGTTAATTAGCCATGTTATCTGCCTCCAGACCGCGGTATACCTTGAAACCGGTTATCGTCCCATGCCTAGTTTGGTCTTAACTGGTCTGGTAAGAAAAAAAAATAAAAAATAAAAAATGAACACCCATAAAGAAAGTCAGTGTATTATTATGGTGGGGACAGCATAAAACATCTCATTTTCTGATGGCCTTTCAGCATGTTCAGTTGGGTGAAAAAAATATTGCATATTTACAAAAGTCCACAATCCAATAAAAAAAAATTATTTGGAAAAATAAGTCAAACAACAATGTATTCAGCAGGGCTGGATGACACAGACCAAATATATATATATATATATATATACTATTTAAGTCTCAATGTTGAAATTTTTGGTAAAGAGAATAATGCATTAAAATCAACATTATAATTTTGATGTCAGTTCATTTAATAATCATCAATAAAACAAAATTACATTTCAATACTCAACATATCCTAGTATGTAGACTTCCTTCCCCGTTAAATCACTGTACTCTAATCTCACTTTCTAGTGTCTAGTGTGTTCACTGAAATGGCACAATTTTCCAAGATGCCTGGCTTTGTACACCCTTACCACAGTAAAACCTTGGAAATTTGTGGGGAAAACCCCATGAATCATCTGGTTTCGAGATCAGAGAAAAATATATGGTATTTCTGAGTTGGGTTGGAACAGCTTGACCAGTGCAGTTTAATTCATTATTGAACAAAAGTTAATGATTTGGTCCTTTTTAATTAATCATCCAAAAAGAAGCAGTGAGTTCATGAGTTATTGGATTATGTGAACTTAAAATCAGTGCAACTCCATGTCCTAACTGAAAGTACTTCCAGTGACAACCAATTTGTCTGTCAACCAATTTGCCTTCCAGTGACAACCAATTTGTCTGTCAACCAATTTGCCTTCCAGTGACTACCAATTTGTCTCCACTACGCAACTAATCAATCAAAATCACAGCCAATCAGAAGAGTGTATGGGCGGGCTGTCTCTGTAAGTGCACTGCATTCATGCAATCTGCAACAAAAAATGTCTACATAATCAATGATGTTGAATTTGTGTGAAATTCATAACAGTGTTTACGTTCATCCCCAATCATGTCACGTTTCACACCAAACAAGAGCTAATACAGTTGCATTCACAGAGCATTTTATTTGATTGATTTAATATTGCATTCATAATTGTGATAAAACCTTGCCTTGTAATTCGTGCCATATTTTATTTGTAAAGTAAGTATTTTTATGAGAAAAAGCTTGAATGAAACCTTAAAAGATTAATGGCAACCATTAAATTACCTAAATTACCTAAACACAAAAAAATAAATTATTGACCAACCAGAAAATAATCAATAATATGGGGTAATCTAACAATCTAGTCGATTGTTAGATTAATCGACTAACCTGAAAAAATAGATTATGAAAATAATTGTTAGCTGCAGCACTAATGCTAAAATTACACTAGGGCTGAGACGATTCCTCGAATACCTCGAGTAACTCGAATACAAAAAATCATCAAGGCAAATTATTTGCCTCGAGGCTTCGTTTAGTCCGTTTACTGTAGTTAATTTCACATTTAAAGTATCTTTTCGTTTTTAAAATACTTTTAAATATCAGTATTCAATGTTTTATGTTTAAAATAACAAAATATGATTTATGCATTTGTAACTGCAGGTTAAATACATTCATGTCTAGGGCTGGGTATCGAGTTCGATACTTTTTAGGCACGAGTGTTTGTAATAACTTCCGATTGCCGTCTAATGAGTGTTTTGGCTGTGTAATGTTGCTGAAATTAAATATGTTAGTACCTCTGAGTCAGAGCAGCGATCATGGAAGAGAGAACACAGGCAGACAGCGCTGGAAGCTGCTAATGCTCATCAGTAAATCGGTGGAAAATTTATAGAAATCATGATTTTGTCTGAGCTATGCTTTTTAAAATGAACACGCACTAGTGTAAATGTAGCCTAATAGATGTGTAAACTGAAGACTATTTGAGCTTTATTAAAAACTATTTGCACTGATTTATTGTGTTGGTTACATTTTGTTCCTTTGTGCCAGTCCTCCTGGCTCAGGAGATGAGTCTTTGAGTTTGTACAAACATCAACAAGCTGAAAAATAAAACCAACGGTTTTTTTTTTAGATAATGTAATCTTGTTAAAATTGATTTCATAAAATTGGTATCGAAAAAATTATCGTTCAGGAACCGGTATCGGTATCGATATCGAAAAGATACTGATATCATTTGTTTGGTAACAGCCCAAATGTCTTTTATTCTAATTGACTGATTAAATGTAAGAATTTAAATCAAAAGATGATGCACACTTTTAGGAAAAAAAGGCTTTATGAAAGTAAAATTGCCCATAAAATGTAAAAATCTATTTAAACTTATTGGAACTTATTAATTTCTATCACTGCTGTGAACTGACCCAGACACAGAATATGAAGGATATCAAAAACAAGTTTTACACACACACACACACAC